ATGAGTCTGCAGTATGACACAGGGCAACAAAGTGAAGTTCAGAATTACATACATGAGTATTGGAAGCGGCTTGGGTGTAAAGCCAAAGAAACTTGGTCAATACACTGTGCCAGATCAACTCTAGAATGAGATCCTATAGTGACATAATTTATGACCTCTCTAGTCTTTGGCCATCTTCTTCCTGAGCCACAGCGACTCGACTACCAGTACCAACATCTGACCAGCAAACCAAACAATGTCTTGGAAACGCAGCAGCAGTAGGAAGTGCTTGGTGTTTCTTGTTGGTAGTCTGTTGAGTGTTGTAATTATCCAAAGCTCTCCAGAGGACCTCTTGCAAGCACAAAGCCGGGTGGAGAAACTTTTGCACCCAAACCTAACATGTATTAAGAACGTGACATATAACATGGACATGATCACGTTCCAAACCCTCTGAATCAGTGGCGGCCAGTGCACTTGGAGCCCGAGGTGAAGCCTCTACGACTATAGAGGCTACGATGGTTGTCCCGTGGAGGCTACGGGTGTGGTGCTGCTGAGGGGCGCTAGCACAAGAGCCTCGAACTTGTGGTGCAAACATTGGCTGCCACGACTGGCCGGTGTGGAGAGACGAGTGGCAGCTAACTTCAACAGAACGGGCAATCCAAAAATCAGTCTGTGCACTATGTGTGGCAAAGATCTGGGCTCTTTGAAAGAACATCATCTTGGAAAGAATAAAACCAGAAACAACCTAGAAACTTACTAACAAACACTTTACAAGGGCTCAAGTCTTGGGTAGTGATACACGGCCTAGCCTAATGGCAAATTATATTTGGAGTGTCGGGCATCCCATGACCGCTGGCTGGCTTATGCCATGATACGACCTCCCAAAATGGCCATTTATGTTTTAAACCTCAACACGCATCACCAGTGACCAAATGTTTAAGACAATGGCTTCATAGAGACCATCGGTCGCTGAAAACCAACGACCCTTCTTCCTTTTCTTTTTTCCTTGTTTCTAATAGCGATGGCCTCCAACCTACAAGCGATGGCCTCCACCCCAATAGCGATGGCCTCCACCCTACAAGCGACTAGTAGCGGTGGCCTCCACCTTATACAAACAGTCTCTGCGTCTGGTCGACCGAGCAAATCCAGTCTGGTCTAGGCACTGTGTGCCCAGTCTGCGTATCCAAGTAGTAGACCCTGGCGATGCCGAAGATGAGGTGAGTCGAAGTGAGCCCCAAAACGGCCGAAACGATGCATTTGTGGATCAAACATGATCAAACTGCATCCGTGTGGCGGCAACGAAGGAACGTCATGATCTTCCAACAAAACACAAGGAGTAAATACAGTAAATGGGTCCTTAAACCTTCAGTGGTTGGAAGATATTGGATCAAAAAGCAGCAACAACAACTGCACAATGACACGCAAATGAGGAAGAACTGTCCACCAACACATCCCTTCCTTGCTCCAAGTATCCAAAACCAATCGTACTTTATCCAGTCGAGAAACTATCCAAAATTCACGCGGAAGACTTATACTCAGCCGATCCAACCGACCAGCCGGCTTGTCAAGAAAACATGGACAGCTTAGCAAAATATTAAAAACCTTGCAAGAAATATCAATAAATAATTCCAGCTGGCCTTGCAAATTCGTGACCTTACGAAATCAAAATAAATTACCACATGAAAAAAACATGGTGAAATGATTCCTTCTACCTTGGCTTGCACGAATCTCTATGGACAAAGTGCTGTTCCTTCTCTAGCAAGCTATGCTTTGAGCCGATCCCTAGCCTGACAGCCTCACATCCCTCTGTTTCTGATCTTTGAGAAGGCCGACGAAAACGCTCAGAAGGGGCCTCAGAAGAGAAGAAACAATTGCGTGTAACTACCAAAAGGATCCAAAAGGTTTGACAGTTTGACACAACATATTCAGAGGGTCCAGGACCATTCTTTGTCCAGGAAGCCTCAACGACTCCAATGACCAATCTCTAGAAGTACTTTGGCATCCAAACCATCCTGAGGATATGCTATCCCTCCAACTCTCCCTGAAACTTATCATGAAAAGTATCGAACCAATGCCACAGCCGCTACGCTCCTGCCTGCCGGTCTTGTGGTCATGGAGCTCCTACAGTCGCTATGCGAAGAAAACACATCGTGTATGGCTGTTGATGCGATGGCCTCCAATCCCCAGAAACATGTTCGCTTCAAGGGACAGTGACTTCACTGGATGTGTCGTGTGTTGATTTCACGGACACCAAGCGCGACACAACACACCGACACCACGACATCTAGTGCATCCTCTTGTATTATGATACCGGGGTCCTTCCACCCGTGCATCAACTCGCTCGCGGATGCCACGTGGAGAAGCCTTGGACGTCGGACGTGATCACCGGCACCGACCGAAGAGACCACCATCCCACAGCTGGTGAGTTCGGGGCAGCGTTCGCCTCAGTCGCCATGGAGTACCAGCATTACGGAATACTTTTGGTGGTATATATACAGCATATACAGCATCAGAGGTCCCGGATGCTTCTCAGCTGGTGCAGGATATTGCAGGATGGCCTGACAACAGTATCAGTCACAAGGTGCAGGTCCTAAAGGGCATATGCTTTCTGTTGTTGGTCATGTATGTTTTGGGTTGAGGTCCATATTGTTGGCACATGCAAATCAACAAAGATCATCATGGTTGGTTCTTCGGCTCCTCATGTTCACTTTCCAAACCTCTGTTCTAGAATGAAGGGCCAACTATTGAATGAATGCGTGGTTCTCAAGTTATCAACCTGTACAACATCCTTGCTTCATCCACATGTGATCCGCCGGAATCCATAGCGGAACACATCCATCTACATGTTCGCTCTGAGTACCCACAGAGACCTTAAGGTACCCACAGAGACCCCGTGAGGGCTTTAGAATCGTCAAATAGGACATCCAGAGTTTCATGACCTCCTCGTGGATGGCATGAACACTCCAAACCACCGCTCAGCTGCCCACCAGGCCCCCATGAGGAGCCTGGGTAGCAAAAGGCGGTTGATACTCAATCCCAAGGATCCGATCTAGGGTTTTGGAGAATCAGTTGGACTAATGAGTCGACTCTTCTTCATTAAGAAAAACAATAAAACACCTTCCCCCCCCAGAAGGTCAGACCTGTTCCAATAAACAGACCCGGTCCGTCGACTCTTTCAGACCTGGATCGCCGCGTTCCGCGTTCACGGAAGGGAAAAGCAACACCTATCCGGTTCCAGGGTCCCTGGGGGTCTTTCACCCGTCACTGGGGGTCCAGTGAGTGAGTGATGTCTCCGCTCCGAGTGAGTGATGTCTCAGGACGTCGGGTGGCTCGGATGGACTGCTAGGACCAGGTGCTTTGGATTCGGCTGAAGACCCTGTTTGATCAACTAAAACATGGCTTGGAACCCATGGAAGTGTGTGAAATTGGAGGGGCAGGTCACTGGGGTTGCTTTTGTTGGAAGTGTTGGTGACCCGGCAACATCAGGTGTGGTACTTGGCCTGCTTGTATTAATATATAGCTAAATATGCATTACAGGAGGAACGAAAGTTCTAAAGGTACCGGGAACATTCCTTTCTTGACCGGAAAAAAAAGCCGGGAACACAGTTATATAGACATTCAAGCAGCGATCAAACAAAAAAAAACGATGCAAACCTAAGGGCTTAGCTTACAACATTCCACAACAAAATGCAAGTGCATGTGCTGATGTATGTCTGAGTGATTCATCCAGTGGGACGATGCAATCTTCCAGGCCTTGGCCCTCTGCCCGCCAGCATAGCGCCCGCCATGGACACGCAGGGCGGGACGCAGGGGAGGACACAGTGAAGACGACAGCACGCTGAAGCAGGTTGCAAAGTCAGGTCGTGGGCTGGTCGTGGCTGAGTTCATGGTCGTAGAAAGGGCTGACCAAATGATCAGCAAAGCTATGAAAAGCATAAGGCTAGCCAAATGGCCGGCTTGTGAACATTAAGCTAGCTTGGTACCAACACATAATTCCACGGCTAAGGAGTCTAGCCGACAGGCCCGCATGTATGTAGGTCCCTTTGTGACTGCCTTCATAGCTCATAGTGGATCGCACTACAGAGTTGAACAGTTGTGCAGCATTTTCTGCAACAAAACGGCGTAGCCGTACCAATGCTTTGAGCAAAAGTTTGCCACCACGAGCCACGAGAACCAGAATGAGGTGCTTGGGTTCAAAGCCAGCCCTTGCACTGCAAACATAATACACATAGAATGCACTATAGAATGCTCATGGGTTGCGTTTTGATGATTCCCTTCATTAACAAACTACAGTGACTATCAGTGACTACAGTCCACAAACACGAACACCACACGCAGCCTGTAGAGACCTCCAAACGGTTTCAGTGGATCCTCTTCACACCTTGTGAGAAACTCCACCAGAAAAAAAAAAAACACACAGGTGTCGATGGACGGAGGTCACCTGCTGCGTCCACTCGGGGTTGTCCATTGACCACCAAGAATCGTTGGTATCTGGGGCTGCGAGTGAACACCTCTTTTCGCTCCTCCCCCAAAAAAGGTCATATATAGTGCTTGTGCCTAGACATCTTCAAGCTAGTTGGACTTGTTGAGGATCCTCGATCTTAGCGCAACTAATCCACATGCAAAAAAGCCTTCCCTTGCCCTTGAGAACAAGGGCGGATACGGGGGGTGGTGATCGACAGTGGGATTCTTGGGATTTCTTGGGTGTGTGGTTGGTTTTGGTCCACCCTTAAGTCTTCGGGGCAGAAACCTCTGGTCTTCGGTGTTCGGTGAAAAAGCCGTCTCTGGAAGCATGAGCCATGGGTGCTTGGATGTCCGGGGCCTTCGCAATCAGCTTGCCATAGGTCAAACTCCATCAAACACCAAAAACATTTCCTCCAAACACCACACCAATTGAACCAAGGAGCAACCCATATATACATAGGAGATAGGAGTGACCGTCCACACAAAAGGACATCAAATGGATTTCAAACACGTGCTTCAGCTGCAGGCCCGGCTTCGCCCGTCGATCACCCAATCACCTCCTCGACCCAGCGCAGGTGCTTTGGACGATGAGCGCCATCAAAGCACGTGCCCCAGTCCTGTCGGGGTCGCTTGCGCGCGGACGTTCGGGCCAAAGAAGCAAGTGGCCGAGGGGGGTCGGAGCGGGTTCCAAACGGAAAGTGCTTTTTTTTAAAAGCTGAAGATAGACATAGATAGACCCTGACGCTCTTTTAGATAGACACCACTGACACAACCCATGGTCTTACAAAAGCTGCAAACCATCTAGTGACGGAGGGGCTGTGTAGTTGAAAATGACTGGCTCACAAATGGAGGGTCCAACTACTGCTTGAGAAAGGTACATGTCAGGCATGCTGTCATCATGTAAAACTCATCCTGTTTGGGTGTCCTGGCTGGACTACCCTACACTACTTAGGGATCACCTTTGGACACCAAAACAGGATGATTCCACCTTTCGTATCTTCGTCAAGCGAAACGTGTCAAAAGCAAATGCGAAGGCCGGATGTTTCTTCAATGACTTGTGACCTAAGCTGTGGCTTCAGGCCAAATTACTTCTTCCCCCTCAAAGCTGTTGCATCACATTCCAAGCGCAATGTTGAACCCATGCGGATTAGCAAAAAGAAAGTCTTTGGGATTCGAGGCAAGAGTGACAGGGGACATTATTCAACTCACTTTAAAGTGTTGAAAGTCTGTAATCAAATAGATTCAAATAGCAAATCACATGTCTTGGTGCTCAAGAGAAGTGGGAAGTCTTGAAGTTATCCACTAGCCGAAAACATGATATTGTGTTCTTTTGAATACCTCCAGAGCCAGCCCGGAGACACTGCACCCAAGCGAAACCATCCAGCAGTCCACCACGGTCTGTCCACGCGTGATGGCCTGGGCTAGTGGCAATTGAACAAGTGTACGAGAAGGTCCTTGGTGCCTTTCTTTCCACCTGACAAAGTCTTGTCTGTTCAAAATATGTATATATAATATATATTATATAATGTGTTATATATTATACATACATAAAACAATACGTAGAATGAAACTGCAAATGGTAGTTCATGTAACGTGGAAGGCAAAAGTGAAACCTATCTGTTCTTGTGCCCAAACCAGCACCTGTACACCTGGAGTTATCTTCCTCCAAGGGCTTAATCAAGCAACTAGGTCAGGCTTCATGTCAAATTCCTGTGCTTCAAATGAACTATTACAGTATACAGTGTATACAAAATCCTCAAACACGTCTTGGTTCATGTCGGATCCACTCATAGGATCCACCAGCTCAGCCCCGCACCCCTGACAGCTCCACCTCGATATGGACCAGCCCTCAGATCACGGTCTGGATGGTACCATGTGTTGATTAATAAAACAGTCAGTAGACAACACAATATGTTGCATCAACCTGGTGGCTGAATCCTCGGCCAAAAAACGGATGCAAATTGTTGGCCGCCCATGGCGAATCAACAGAATGGTTGTGATTTTGGAGATATGAACTTTTGAATATGAATCCCATTGTGATTTGAGCAAGAACAGTTTGGACGTCTCACCAGGCATCAATCAATCACAACAATTGTGACGAGTTGTTGTGCTCAGCATGGTTGGAGTTCCGTCTGCTCCTTGTTTTTGTTGCGCAAGATCAAATCCATGGTTCCCTTATCCGAATCCTTCCAGGCGGCGACTGCGCAAAATTATCTCTGGTTGGAGCACCATGGCCATTGTGATGGCCTAGGCAATGGCTAGTGTCATGGCTACTACTGTGGAGACGGGGAATGTGGGCTGTCTCCCCCAATCACTGAGTTTCTAGACTATCTTTCGGGTTCGGGAGCGGTTTGTAATTATACGTGGGATTCCTAAATTGAACTCAAAAAAGTCTAAACGGCAGGTCAAAATCCTGCTCAACACTGAAATTTTACACCGACCTTGATGTACATGGTCTACAAGTCACCACAACTTGCCATCCAAAAAATGTGGCAATATGTGTAAATACTTGATGAATCTAAACGTTTCTTCCGGATATCGATGGCTCCAATCTCAAACCAAACTTGAATACCCAGCTCTAAACAATACAAAGGTACCTGGATCGTCCAATGGATGTCCAATGGGGATCCCCAAGTAGTCTATGGTAGTCCATTGCACACCCATTGGATGGTCCGGGTAGTTTCAGAACAGTGAGTGTTGAACTTGACAAAGCTCAAGCCCGCCAGTGAGGGTCTGACATCACTGAGCGTCAAGCCCAGCAGTTTCGAAAAGAGAATGTTGCTACGACGGATGCAAGCCACAATTCCGGTGTTTGATGTGAAACTCAATGTGAACCTGAAGTTAAGTTCCAAGTTGCAACTGAAGGAACTCTATGGTTTGCCAAACATATCTGCTTTGTAGTTTGCTCCTCAGATGTTATAGGGGAACAAACATCCGAAATACATGTTCACAAAACCCAAGAATCCCAAGCCTGCCCCTCACTGCACCGAAAGCACATCACAAATAATGGCTCCAGGTTGGGATTGCAACTGCCAGAAGCCTGCGAGGGAGCGACCAGCTAGAGCGACCGCTTTCGACTGCATAGCGACCAGCCGAAACATCTGTTCACCTCCTCCCGTGCGAAGCCAAGACATCACATCAAGAAGAACACCACAAGTGCCTTACTAGTAGTAACAAGTGCCTTACAAGTAGTAACAAGTGCCTTACTAGTAGTAACAAGGACGCTACTCAAGACATCACATCAAGAAGAACACCACAGCTTGCAAGCTTGATGGCTGGCAAACGCAAGAGTCTACATTGTCTACATGTGCAGAAGCAGTGTTTAGCCAGTGACAGCTAGTGTCACCAAGAAGCAGGTGTTGCATGATGCTGGGAACTTTTTGGGGTCTCCTCATCTTGAGACACATCTCAATATCTCAACAGATTCAGTGTGGTTAAATTTGGCACTTGGGCTGCCTGGTGGAAGCTTAGATCTTGCATGATCTTGCAAGCAATCCCCTTTTTCTATCAAGCCTGTGCCAGCCGGATGCTCTACGTGTCGCAGCACTGGAGCACAAAGTTCCAGCACCGAAGAAGCCAAGAAAGCCCAACAGCTCTGATGACCTGGACATGGGTGTGTAATTGTTCCAAGTCTCCCGGCTGGGTGGATGGGTCTATTTTCCAAAGCGAACCCCAAGGGTTGTTACCGGGGGTCAGTCTCCTGATTTTTGAGCTACACGTGCTACACATCAGCTGGAAGGCTTCCACCCAGGAGAAACTCACCACTCTGAGGCGAGACCCCTTGCGGACAGTGAGGGGTGCAAGGCAAAAAAGCCGGCTGGCTGGAGCCTTGATTTGAAGACCCGCACAGTGGGCGAAACCAAGTGGACCACTAGCTGGCTACCAGCTGTACAGACGCCTCCCTTCTCAACGTTCATGTCTCCCTTCGCGAAGCCGAGTCGCATGGTCTTGGGACTGGGAGTCAGTTCGATGTGGCGATCGAACGCGCGATGTGGTCGAAACGAACGGAGCAAGGACGCTACTAGTTCATTGAGCTTCGACTGCGAACACTTACACAGCCCCCGAACCAGGTCAGTCTTCCAAGCTCCAGTCTGAGAGTCCCAGGGTCCCTGCTGCCACGGCTACAGGAGCTCGTCTGCCGCTTCTGCACCTGCAAAGGGGGCAACGCTCAATCTCCCAATGTCGGTGGTTCACATGAACCCCCATCTAAAAAGAATACATGTTTGGAGGTTGTCCCATCTACTCTGAAATCACCAAGAGCCAGAGACCACGCAGGCCCACTGGCAAAATGACACCCAAATATCAACCAGTCCCTTATAGGAACTCTGCCGTACTCACACGGATACATATCAAAAGCCTGCTAGGGCAAGCACACCTCGCAAGCTCAAAGGGGTGATTGAAAAAATATGAACAAATACAACTGCAAATAACATCAAATAACTACAACCTTTGGTTTTGACCGGGGACAATCTAAGCTGCCAGTGACATGTAAAGCTCAGGCAGTACCCAAAACTAGATCCCACGCACGCAACAACTTGCTTCGACTTGCCAGTCACTTTGTGTGCCGAAACTGCACCAAACAAACGGTACAAAGTAGCCGAGACATTCACCACTATGTTCCCAAAGAATAAGCATTCAGGCTTCCTAAAGCTCCGTCTTTTTTGGAGCGTCTTGACCGACCGACTGTCACTGACCAACTCAAAACCTTTGCGGCGAAGGAGCATACGGCAACTGGCTGATGGCTGCCAAAAACTTGCCAACCTGCTGGAGTCTACTGTTGGCGGCTGACAGCTAGGGTCAACAGGGAGGGTCTGCAAGAAAATACTACATGTTCAGCAACGGGAGCTGCAAGGACTGTATTCAATCTTGTACATGATACATCATTATACAATACTTACGAAATGCATCGAAGTACCAAACATTATCAAAAGGACAGGCTGGCCGTCGCATGTCACTACCAACTGACGCCAAAACTGGATACGTACACAGGACTCATGTGGCATTCTACAAACAAGGTCGGAGATGCTTGTATAGTAAAACAACTCTCTTCAGAACTGAAAACTAACCAATGACCGACAGCTTGGGTTCAGGATGCTTCAGGCACTTTCGCTTCTAGTATCCAAAGGGTTCGCGTCTGAGTGTGGGGACTCTCCTACCCCAGACTGGCGGTTTGATGGTTGGATTTGAGTTCACACGACAGGGCCATTTCAGTTCAAAAATTCAAGATTACACGCGCAAATATGTTTCAACTAAAGGGCAAACAAACCCAGCAGAGGCTGCCATCTCAATGGACAAGGGTCCGATTGACCCGAATCAGGATGAACATTTCACCCAAAGCATGCCCGAGCACGGTAGCAGGTGCTTGTAATGTGCTTGTCCTCTACACCCAATCCTCTTGGTTCCAACCAACCATCCTGCCCCCAGAGATGTTCCACCAGCTTGGCAGCGGCAGCTTCTGCTTGCCGCCTCCCGCCCTTCCGCTGTTCCGGCCTGGGTCTCCGAGCGGAGCAGCTGGTCGAAGCGAGGCCACGGCACGGTGGCGAAGACCGTCAAGTCCCAACTGCTCACCGTGAGCTGCGGCCAGGACCTGTGTCGTCACTCTGTGGGTCGAGAGGTGAGGGGATGCGCCGGTAGGGGTAGGCTTCGAGCGAGGGTGAGGGGGTTTGAAGGGAGAAGGATGGTGCCAGGCACGAAGCTGCCCTTGTGGTTCGAGTTCAAACATTCAACGCCGGTTCGAGCTGCTTTGGGAGTGGCCATGGGGGGCTTCTTGTTGAGGCTTCTTCTTGACACCAAACGCAGCGTCTGGATTCAAGTTCCCCTCATCCGTTGCCCGGTACGACCTGCACCCCTTCTCGCGGCCGGACACTCACTTGCTCATTGAATCATGACATCAAAAACATTCACTCACTTGCGCACTGTGGGGGTATGGCCTACTACATACAACACTACACACTCATGATCTGCATTCTGGGGGGGTGGGGCCTGGGGCCTTCAGCACCACACCCAAACACAAACAAGCTTTGGACACGAACACACGCACACAACGTTGGTACATTGCCCCGTCTTCAAAGCCATACACTCGTGGTCACTTACTTGGAAGCTGCACCTCCAAAACAAAAACTGTTTTTTTTTGGCAGTGGCCTATTCATTTGTAGGGGTCATGTTAGTAAGACACTCTGCGGGAACCCTCACTCTCTACTCTAACATGGAAGTCGGAGCAGTAGCAGGTTTGATGGATTTGGCAGCTAACATGGAAACAATTCTGCGTGGCAGCTCCAAACAGCTTTGCCTGCCACAACCCCAGGCAAACGTCTAGCCAGTAGGGCCAAGAAGGCCTGTGCTGTATCAACACAACGAAGCGCACAAGCAAGTGCTAGATCATCATCCCGTGCCAGGGCGCCCTCTCGCCTGGCAAAGACTTCGGCGGCTGCCTCGGGGTCTGCATGGATGTTGAACTCGGTGACCTTGGCGTCTCGGAAGCTGAAGCTATATAGATGCAACTAGTACGTAACTATTCTGTAGGCTGCAACTGTATCAAGTGAATGACAAAAAAAAACTATTCAGCAGGCAGTGCAGAAGGTTGGAAAGCAATCAGCCCAGCAACTTAATCAAGAAGCAAGATTTGTGAAATGCCTTGCAATGCAGACATGCTGCGTCACAAAGCTTGTATATTATACAAATCGATGCACAAAGACGAATTGACCAATCCTCGTGGGAACTTTTTGGCATTCTATTCGAGTTAATTTTCAGGGTGCTTCCCCCGTGTCTACTCCCCATTCAGCCCTGCCAACCAGGATTTGCTTCGAAGGTTTCGTCATGCGCCAGAGTAAGTGAGGATGGTCGAGCTTTGGTCATTGCTGGCAAAAGCCCCCCCACTCTTTTGCGTCACGAAGTCTGCAACCTCCAAACAGGATGAACAGCTACTGTCACTGTGGGTAAGTGTAACATCCAGTCCATACACCCCACAGGCTCGCTGGGAACCCCGGCACGCCCGTGGTTCCCTCTGCCGTTGCCGCAACAGCCCATGACCTCGACGATTCTGCGGTTTTCATGCGGAAGTTGGAAGACATTAGGCTCTGGTGCTACTCATGGTCTAGTGTTCCTTCCCCCATAGACGGACATAGACTGACAGCCACCTATAGTCCATTGGAGCAAGCAAACGCCCGATCTGCCTGCTTTTGACATCATCCAAGTGACATGTCGGAGTTTGGTCTCCTGCTCTTCAAAGTCTTTGAACGCTCGCTTTCCTTACACATCCTTGCCTGATCGATTCCTCAGATTTCAGGAACACTAGACCATGGAATCCCAGTCACATGGGCAGCCTTATATTGACATGGAATCCTCAGATTCCACTCATGGGCAACCCCTTCCTGTCCCCTGAATGTTTAACGCGCCAAGAGACCACCAAGTCATGCAGCAACAAAGGCAGCTCCGCATCTTCCTTCAACGCCGAGGCCAAGTTGGTCAGCGGCCCTGGCGAGAGACCAGTGTACCACAAGAGACCTTTTTAGGAAAGAAAGCGGTTTTGGTGTGAAATATACATACCGTGCTACGCACATACAAACACACAGATACACACATTTACATGTACATTTGAACATAACACAGGTTAAACATACTGATATGACCTACATATCGGACTTAACTGGGACTGGGACGCAAAATGGTTGACGGGAGAAAAACACTGCTCCCAAACTGGAATGCAACAAACACACTGCACATGGGAAACGCACTTGGAGGTGGTGCCTGTTTTCTTGAATCGTGTTAACCTTTCAAAATCAAACGATGTCTGAAATGAAATATGTGGGAACCCTGTCACTGGATGGACTACACCTGCGCACAACCAGCACCAATCCACCACAGGGTCCAGGTCCAGGTGGGATTTTTCAGTGCCAGGGAAACCAGTGGATGATCCGATCGCAGTGAGACAAATCAAGACCCACAAATCAGGGCAGGATCAACGGCGGGGAAGATCCACATCACACAGAAACTCCATCGGACTGGCATAAGAAAACCTACATGATCCGACCTGTTGGAGTGGTAGTTTGAGGGGTCAATGTAGGTAAATATAGTATTCCATATGCCGTGCGGTGTGATTTGGGTATTGATATGTATGAATCAATTGTATACATTGACATAAAATGGACTACCATGTTAAGTTATGAAAGCCATTCCTATGGGAGTGCTCTAGCCGGTTGGCGATGACACACTTTGGAAACAAACGGAATACGCAGGAAGTCACTCTGGGACGCCCGACCTGTTCAAATACGTCTTTGACGTTGAATCGATATCTCAAGACATTGTATTCGAAACACCCATCAAGCTTAACATCAAGAACTTGATGTGGTCAGCATAGACGAAACTCCTGACACTCCAGTGCAGGTAGAGTAAACAACACATGACATGATGATGGGGAGGCCCCTTGTCTTGTGATTAGCAATTCCACTTCTAGAGTTCGAGAGACAGCAGCTGTCACTAGTCTGGTGAACTTCAACTTTATGTCTTCTGTGGGGTTCATGGTCGACCCTTCTCAGCGCCAAAATACTCAGTTTTCTCCCCCAAAATCCGTGGAACACTTGGGAACTTAGACAGAGCGATGTGAAACTCGACAGTTGAAGAGCAAAAACCTCTTGAAGAACAACAACTGCACACAGAAGAAGGGACCATCCCAACGGTCGGCTGAAGGGGACCGCACCTAGGGTCACGAGCGTCACCTCGGCGCCCTCCTGGGATTCGGTATTTGGGAGTCCCAACGGGGCTGCGTATGAATGGCCCTGTTCAAAGCACTACTCCTACACACATGAACCCTGAATTCTCATGAGCTCATGGGGGATCTTGTTTAACACATGGGGCATCCCAAAAAGGCAGTGTAGAATGTTGATGCGAAGGATACTGGAGACTCTCATGTCATGCCAAAGAGACAAACCAAAGGTCTTCGAGGCATCTCAAATCCGTCATAAACACCCCGGGCCGTCCAAGTTGGCATGGTTGGAGGGTGAACAAAAAAACAGAAGGCCACAGAAATCAACCTAATCAACTACTGGAGTATACTAGAGTACAGGATAGACGTGTATGCGGTATATTGCAGTATATATTTGATATGAATACAAGATAATTTAAGTGGGAGTGGAACCGAACCCTTAATGATGGAGACTCCCTTCACCAGAATCATCCTGTTTCGTTCATCCCCCGTGATGGGGGCCACCCGTGTCTCGTGCGCGTGTACTGCCCGTGCAGTGCGCAGTGCGCGCAGGCGCGGTAGTGCGTTGACTCAAGAAACGTCTCCCAAAACACCTTACGCCCTATACAATCATGATTTCCAGCTCTGCTATAAACATGCTGTGAATGAGCTCTTGAATCCCCCGAGGATGCGGTTTTCTTGTCTGCGCAAATCACTGCAAGGCCTCGCACTTCGCAGGAAACAGTTGAAAGGAGATGTGCTTTCAATCAAGTGACAAAGAGAAGGCCACATGATTTAGATGTAGGTCAGCACACACACACACACATCCTCAGATTCCTCTGTGAACCCTTCAACATCCAAAAACGTGATAAGTTCATACTTTGACTGACATTGTTTACATTTATGTTTGCTGCTATTACTTTGTTGAACCTGCGAGCAAAAAGAAAAAAACGCCACCTCCCAGTGCCTCTCCTTTTTCGCCACTGCCAAAAGCTCTCGCAAGGCTGTCACCGCAGCTCCGAAGCCGACGGCTCCGATCGCAGTCAGGAAGGCGGCGTCCAAGGGCGGCGTGGCGTCCCCTGGAGGAGGCGTCCGTCCCGCTTTTTGTCCTGGGTCGTTGGTCTTAAGAGTAAAAGGTGAAATACCTATCTGGCACGTCATGGCACGTCTCCTATTGTTTTTTGTTCAATGTTTGTGTTGAGAAAGTGCTGGTTTAAGCAGGCCTAGTGAGTCTTGCTGGGGGGGCCGCGGACATCCAGAAAAGAGGATCCTAGCGCCTACCAGTAGCACGCTGTGGAAACCACATGGTGCTTTCCAAAGGGTAACTTAAGGATTCCAAAGAAGAGTGAAATGATACCTGCAGGGATTTCGGAAGGTTCCGGAAAGGAATGGGACTGCCAGGGGATCTTCACATATGTTTGTTATGATTGACTATATTGGATTTGATGTCATCATCCCATTTATATTGTATATTCTTGCTGCACTCATCACTCAGGACTCCCATTCTCCGTCGACCTCCCCCTTGGAATTCACCACGGACACCGCGTGAGTCAAGTCCCTTCCCTTCGGTGGTTTCTGGACGCTGCTGGGGGGGCGCTAAAACCTCGAAGACGAGGTGGGAGCAAAACCGGCCGGAGGAGCTGGGATCGGAATGTCCGAGGCCTCAGGTGCTGCGCCGTTCCGAATCAGCTGGTGGAAAGAGCTCCGTTGGAGCTTAGGAGACCCCATGTGCCGCCGAACGCACTGACCTTCCGAAGTGCGCAGGTGTTTGGGGTCAGCAGCTGGGATGGGTTCGGAGAGTCCAAGACCCTTCGTAGCCCATCCACCAGGCCTAGCCCATCATTGCCGTGGAAGTGGGTGGCATTGGAGGCCTCAAAGCAATCACTTCAAATTGGCGAATTCTTGAGAACACAAAACACCCGACTTGCAGGATCACTACTTGGTTCGTAGTACGGTATTTGACACGTGTGGCTCTGTCATGCGATCGAAGTGGGGTGTGATCGAAATCAACAAGCTCTCAGTTGTAGATTCCTAGGTGTGAATGCGGACCATTTTCTCAGTGGGATAATCCTCAAAATAGGAGGGCCTATGAATCCAGGACATGTTTCCATTGTCCAACATAAAGGAGCCAGTAGTTTTCACCTGACTGAACGGGTCTGACCGTCTTTCCCATGTATATAAATGTTTTCTTTCACGTGACTGTTCACGACCCAACCTCCGTTCATGCGCCGCATACAAAGGAATTACCACGGGCCAATTGCAGCCAAGTTCAATGATCATACAATGTACATCACGCATCTGCATACCTCCTAAATCGGCTTCCAAGAGCCATACCCCTGCTGACACCAGAATGTCTTGTAATTAGACATTCCGTGGCGCATGGGTTTTTACGCGAAGTGGCACCATTTCACGTGTGTGTGTGTGTGTGTGTCCACACCTGTGCCTAAGGTTTTGAGTCGTAAAGGACGCTACTAGGGCCCCTGGTTTTGCTACTAAGGGCTCCTGGTATCGCTACTAACTTACAGTTTCTGAACGCAGAAAAAAGAGGCAGGGGGTTTCTTAACGCAGAAAAAGGAGGCAGGGGGATCAGGCTTCGAGTGACTAACCTGATCCAACGAAGCTGGGTCACTGGAAGGGAAGTGGTTGAGGACGCTCAACCATGTACCTGCTTGATTTTTCAACTGTTGACAAGCTGTCCCATTCTGTGTTTTGCAATAAGCGGCTAGTGCACTGAAACTAATTGTTAAACACCTTCAACTCTCCGGACCTCCTCGCCTTTCGGTTTGTGCCGGTTTGTGCACTTTTCTTCAAGTCAAGGGGAACTTCGTACTGATAATAGCTCTTGCGAGCAACCATCCAAGTGTGTTTCGCCACAGGGTCCCACTGAGGGCTGTGGTGTGATCCCCGTCAAGGGGCGCCGCATGTGCACAGACCCAGATCCTGGGGGAATCCTTCTGATATTCCGTTTTGCTTTCGTGAACTTCGTTCGATCATCTCTGATTGGCAGGGATGCACGATACCACTGATCTTATGCCGCAGCGCCTACTGTGATCCACACCTTGAGATTTTCTCACCAGAAACATGCGTCTACGTAATCATTTGTACAGTGCTCAGCAGCAGTTATCCTAGGCAGGGTCCAGCATGATGCTTCAGGCACGACATGAGATTCTTTTGCCATGAATTTTTCATGCTCTTCGGTTCTTTCTCTCCTTTTGTTGCTTTTCGTTTCTTGAGGCCTTTCTTTAGGTTCCAGGTGTCGTTCAGAGAAGGGGTGTGCCGGCCCAAATCGGCTATACTTGAAAGCCAATGATGGCAAGGCCTACGGCCACCCTAACCCACCCTCCCCCCTACCCTGGGCCTCGGTTGCTATCCCACCCGCTATTCGGGCAACGGAAGGAAATCGCATCTCCTACTCTATTGCTAGCTACCCGGGCGGTTTAAGACCAAAGGTCCCGCTCGCGTTCTACTTTCAATTTAACTAAGTGGGCCTCGTAGCTACGCCTATCTTTCCTTCTTGCCCTCTTAGTCTGCTTTTGTTTTGTTTGCTTTTTCTGTCTTTCTAAGGCTTTTTAGGTCGCTAGTAGTCTTCAACAAAAAGCGCCAATATTGGCGCAATGTGTGCAAAGTCTTGCGACCGGCGGATACCAACGACGCTACTAGGGGCTTCTGGCCTCGCTACCAGGAGCTAGGACGGTTCTTCCAGGTTGTAAGGACGCTACTAGCGACTCCTGGCCACGCTACTAAACTGCAAGCAAGGGTCAGCGCGCCGAGTACGGCTTCATGTGTGTGTCCACACCTGTGCCTAAGGTTTTGAGTCGTCAAGGACGCTACTAGGGCCCCTGGTTTTGCTACTAAGGGCTCCTGGTATCGCTACTAACTTACAGTTTCTTAACGCAGAAAAAAGAGGTAGGGGGTTTCTTAACGCAGAAAAAGGAGGCAGGGGGATCAGGCTTCGAGTGACTAACCTGATCCAACGAAGCTGGGTCACTGGAAGGGAAGTGGTTGAGGACGCTCAACCATGTACCTGCTTGATTTTTCAACTGTTGACAAGCTGTCCCATTCTGTGTTTTGCAATAAGCGGCTAGTGCACTGAAACTAATTGTTAAACACCTTCAACTCTCCGGACCTCCTCGCCTTTCGGTTTGTGCCGATTTGTGCACTTTTCTTCAAGTCAACGGGAACTTCGTACTGATAATAGCTCTTGCGAGCAACCATCCAAGTGTGTGTGGATTGATTCGTTAACCCCCATTGATTAACCCCTGACACATGAAAAACATGGATTACACTCCCTCCAACAATCATGGAAGTGGATGGCGTGGCCCCTGAAGAAAAGAAAACAGGGGGATGGTCCACTTCCACGCTTGTTGGTAGAGTATACCTGGATTAAACCCGTGGAATATCTCCAAATCCCCAGAACCACCCGCGATCCTCCTGCGACGACTGGGCGGACGCCACACCTGCCTCCTGCTGTTTCAGCGGCCCACTGGCTCCCAGGACCACCCGAATCAATGAGGGAGGCACCTCACAGGCGTGAAGACCTTGCAACAGGCAGGGCTGGCTCCAGCCAGCAAACTGCAAAAAAGAAGCCACCACCGTGGTTTTCTTGAGAACATCCTGCAGTGAGGCTATCTTCCAGAGTGAACAGCTTGTATGACTGCTTTGTCCACAATAAGTCAATATGAGGGGCCCGGCAAGGTTGCTTTTGGCGCCACTAGCAGCGGGGCCCGGCAAGGTGACGGACTCGGTCCGCCTCCACCGTGCTTGCGTCGACGTGCATATCCAACACACTACCGTCACTACCACCGACGAGTGCCCAGTTTCTCTTTTTTCCGAAGCGCAAGGGAAAATTCACCGGGAAAAAGAACAAAGAGCAGAACTTCGAGCAAGAAGAAACAGGTTGCCGTGGTTCTTCAACACGACAATATGCTGTCAAACTCTCCGTGGTTCGACTTAACAAAACATGAACGACTCCGAAACTAGTGCGGTTGTCGACCCATTGGCATTGAATAATATAATTTCCCCCCCAGTGGCCCTGCGGAAATCAGAAGGAACCGCAGTCACACAACGCGAAATTGGGAGCAATTGCTCAAACATGACCAAAGCGTATGGGTTGGTGAAAGGCGTGACGCTAGTTAACATGTCAGCAGCTGAGTCCCAAGTGAGGCTCCACCAAACCCTAATATGTATTTGATTAAAGTGATGTGGCTCTCGAAGCTGATCACTTGCAGATGTCATGTAGAGAAGAACAGTTCTTGCAAGCGCATTCAACTGTCAACTCAAGGAATCAAACCAGTGGCACATTCTTCCTGGAGGGGGTCAGCAAACCAGTGTCTCAGCTTTGTGCTAAAGCACATCTGTATGATTCTCCAAGAAACAAAGGGTCATGACTTTGGTCTAAACAGTCTGGCAGCAATTTTTGGTGGTGATCCAAAAACCATTCATTTATATATGTTCTTTGAAACGATCGTTTTGTCACTTATCTGTGCAGCTGAGCCTCACTTGGCCACATTCATACCTACCTGCACGGTCTGCTGGCCATAAAAAAATGGTCTCTGGTAGGTTTTGACGAGGAGCACAAATTACACTCTCAGGAATCATCATGGAAGTGGATGGCAAGGCTCTGAAAAGGATGACCATTTGCCTGCCTCATACCAAACAGGGGCTGAACTCCACTTCCATCATCATTTCAGGGAGTCCAGTCTAAGATAATTACAGAACCCAAGCAACAATCATCATGGTTGTCATCCTTGTCAATTAACAACCAGTTTTGATCAACTGAAGCTGGAGCCTAAATTCTGTCTGAAAATGGATTGTATGATACACCAACAGCTGAGCACCACGATGATCCCGCACCAGGGTTTGTTGGAAAGCGTTTTCTTATTTTCCTGAAACGGCGTGAGGACTTGGTGTTGGGTGACTTGCTGCGGGCCACTGGGATCAGCTCTTGAGGTGAACGCATGTGAATACATAGAGACTCTGCAAGCATATATAAGGAAACACGTATAGTCGCACTATGTCGCACTCATTGCGATCCCTTGTGGAGGTTGACTGCTATCATCGAGCATGTAGCGTTTGTAGGTTTGTAGCGTTGCATGCGTGAATCCAGTTGTATGAACGTATCGTATCACTGTTTGCTTTTTGACCAAGTGCCCCACTTCTTGAACCCCGCCCGCTTCGAACAGTTGCCAGCATCTAACAAACGCTCTTCTTGGATGAGACTGGCCATTCAGAACACTGGCGCCTGCTCCACCGAGCAATTGCCGAAGCAGCAGGTGATGAGTTTCAGCCTTGTTCCGCACATGGCCAGACCCTGGATTTGCTTCCCTCAACAAGTGATGTTTGTCTCCCCAGCGCATCAAGGCGGGCATTGCCTGTGCTTTTTCACCAGGCCAAGCAAGTCTGGGATCTGCTTGCCAAGCTTGGTGATGCTGGATCGTTTCAATCGTCATGACCCTGATATGACCCCAAAAGGAGCCCATGGCGGCCCATTTCCAATCTTCGTCTGCCCAATCGAAAAGAACCAATGAGGGGTAGGGCACGGGGAAGGGGGTCTGGACTATCTTTCCCACACTTGAGAGACCCAGAGCTCTAGGTGTTTAGGTGTAGGTATTTTCTTTAAGCTTTCCCGCAAGCATACTGACACCCTGTCTTGGTGTTCACACCCAATAAGCAGCATCAAACGGCCTCCTGAGTCCAAGAATGACGGAAGACTCAGAAAACCAACAAAAGACGGTCTGAGACTCAGTCTGAGTAATGGCTCAAAAGGATCCAAAAAGAAGATACGTAGGAAAACAATGTTCTCAAAAAGCACATTCGGCTTTAGAACGTTTTGATGCTGCACTCAAGGTCAATGGTTCTTGGAATGCCCAGTTCGTCGCGCATAGTCTAAAAAGAACAGGTGTGAGTCACTCAGGTGGTTTTATGGTTTTCAGACCCATATCCATCCGAAAAAGTATGATCCACCCACCCTCAACAAAAACACCCCAATGTATGTAGGTACCCTATGATTTTATGGTTCCGTGGATTCTCCCAGCACCGTCGGCGGATGGGACATCCCTCGTAGTGCGGATGGTGGACGCCGGTGGCAGCGGCCAACACACAGTGGTGGGGGTGTGAAACAGGTGCATTCAAACATAGTGCGACACCTGCAGAAACTCTCAGGAAGGGCCTTTAATGTCCACACAGCATGTATTTGTTTGTGTATTAAATAAATAAATATATATATATGAATATATTAATACAATGGTTGTGCATCCGGCTACTTCGGACCCGCGGCCATACTTCCATTGATAGTGACAAGCCACACAAAGTGGCTTTTCTCGGCTAACTTCAAGGCCATGCACAGTGCAAAGGCATCATCCACACCTGCAGTGTGAATAGTAGGACATTGGAAGCGACTGACGTTCACCACCAACAGCGGCTGACCTGTCATACGTCCAAAAGCTGGCAGAAGAGCATTAAGAGACCTAAGGTAGGCAGCCAGCAAAGTGCGGTGATTGAACTGACAATATAATTAGCAAGACGCAAATCCCCAGAACAACCCCTAATCTCCAGACCTGTCTGCGTGTCTGCGAAGTTGAACTCTTCAGATACTGGTGGAGTGAGCCCCATCCGAATCTGACAGACTTTGCATCCTTCTGATTTCAATGGTTTTGCAACATGGTTGGGAAGTCTCAAAAAGCATCAGACCTGCAGGTGTCCTCCCCAAGGTAGCTTGAAGGTTGAAGCATGTATATAATGCAACTAATTCTCGTATGACGAAAACACTCTATATGTATAACATATACCCAGTTTGCCGTAATTGCTCCAAAACAGCAATACAGTATACGTCCAATCCAACCTTGGGGTCGCCAATCGCGACTTCCACTTTGATCCACATCCATCAACTTCAAACGATAAAAACAAAAAACAATTGGGATACCCCAAGAATCCGGACCCTCAAAAACAAGGGTTTTGAGGGTACAAACCAATGTTATAAAGAGGGTTCGACCCCTTCTATGGAGGGTCCAAGGATGCTTTCGGGTATGAAGAAATAGAAAGAAATAACTAGTAGCGATGCATTTGTTACTGGTAGCGTCCTTGCTACAAGTGGCGATGAAACTTGTTACTAGTAGATCTAGTAGCTCTCATCCTAAGACCTTTCAACCCTCTCAAACATTGACCACCTCCGGTCTGACCGCGCGCCGACCTACGCGCACCGACCGCGCACGCGCCTGCATCGGTGTCGACCACCAGCCAACGCTGGCCACCGCTCTCTGTATGTGGCGCCAAGGCCATTGAAGTCGCGATCTCCGATGGCAACTCTCGCCAAGTACTGATGGAAGAATGGAGTTACAAAGAAACCCGCAACTCTCCGTCCACTTGAGATGTCAATATATTGATCGACATACTGTGTTCTTTTGTTCCATGCTCATGTCTTCGTCCAATGACCGCAAAGATTCCCAAATGCGTTCTTTTACTTCGCTCACTCATCCACCGTCCGCGGCTTTCGTTCACTATCTGTTGCTTATAAGCTTAGCGATGGCTGAACAATACCTAGCTACAAGTCTCCTCATTGGTCTCATGTAACGTGGTTAGTGTCTTCAGTGGTGTAATGCAATGCCGGATCTCAGGACAGCTATGAAACTTTCGGAGCCAGCAACCAACCAATTTAACATAATTTAACATCACTTTATATAAATAGATTTCTTTGGGGGGATTGGTCAGGTACTCGTTTCCCCGTTCTTTCCACCCAAGCGCTTTGTGATCCGCTGTGTGATAGAAGTGTAAAGCGCACCAAGCACTGTTTAGCGGATGGCAAGAAACCATATAGGCCCATCTACCCTCCATCTGTCGTGCATTCAATCCCGATCTTGGAACCATATATCACCAAAAGATACCAAACGCTCAGCCAGCTCAGCCCTGAACGAGATCAAATTCCCCCAGCTCCATGAACATCTCCATGACATATCCCGGATCATTGACCATATCATTGACGGTGCAACCGGTGATGCCCAGGCTCCAGCCCCGAACACGAGTCTGTCGTCTCAATGGATGTTGGACAGACAGACCCACCGGTTCCACCGTGAGACACGACGGTTCCACGTAACCAAATACGAGGAAGAACAGAAGTAGAGCTTCCGTTGGACCAGTCCAAGCGTTTTGTCGTTGGGGTGAGTCGGGAGTGCTGTCCAACAAGCATATGGTGGCTGGGCAAGACTTCACATTAGGATACGGAAACATCTATATGTATCTATATATGTGACATGCATCTTCATTTAGTTAAATTTGTATGACGCGATTGTCTTTTTCTTTCATTTCTTTCACATCCCTACCCAATGTGGGCACGGCAAACGCTTCGAACTCCACCGGTGGTTTCCCGAATGCACCGCCAGCGGCAGTCGCGGCTCTCGGAACCTGGAGCGTTGCTGTTCGGTCTCATCAGAGAGGTGTAGCAGTACCTCGGCGTTTGGAACTTCGTTTGGAACTTCTCCGTGAAGCAGTAAAATATATAGGTTTTTGGATGTATTTGGCAAGTACAGGGATACACGACATCACAAGAACCTAATGGAAGACAATTATTAGTTCTCTAAAATGGGGCAAAGGGATTTGAACTTACAGTAACTTGTACAAATTTGGGTACTATGGGGTGTTTGGGGAGGATCTGCCGGTGCAGACAAGTCCTCAACAGCTTTTGGCTCGACACCACAAAACTCAGCAATCACCATGAAGCACATAGACAAATCCCAAATCCCAACCAAATCTATTTAAGTCTCTGGGCCCACAGCAGCTCCCTATACACTATTAAGTCACTATTGCACTGATCTCCTTTTGGGGTGTCTCCCGATATTGACGCTGGACAGGTTGTCAGCTCCTCACTCCTGGGTCTTCGGGCGAGCATCTGCACTCCACCAGCCTCCAACAGCTTTCCGACCACCTGCCGCTTGTTTTTTGTTTAACAAAAATCGATTTCTTTACATTTGGTGGCTTCATGTGATAGCCATGATCACCAAAAGGTACTCAATTCTGGTGTGTTTGACTCTTTTATTTTTTCGCCACAGGCGTCTCCGGATTTGAATCAAACACTTGAGGCCCATCAGCAGCTTGTCATGGGAGGATTTGGTAGCCGATTGGTGGATGGAGACGAGGTGTTCTTGAAGGGGGGAGAAGCAAGGCTCAAGGAAAATATTGTAGTGGAGGGTCAACCCCTTGGGTCTTCTAGGGTCAACTTCACACAAACAAGAGTGCCGAAACGAACATCTGCAGTCTTGGTGAAGACTCTGCAGACTTTCAGATTTCACTTGGGCGTCATGTTCGATGTTGGGACGCCCTATGGGATGCGGCTTCTTTCGACTTGGAAAACGCGTTGGGATGGTTTGCTGTGGAGTAGGTCGGACCTCTCATTCCCTAAAACACCCAAAATGCACGTGATTCATCTTTGAGTTGCACGTGAAAACCTGCAATTGAACTGACTGACTGAACTGCCCCAAAAGCAATGTCCCAAACTCTCCCAAACTGCCGGTCAGGTGCTGACTTGGCTGTCCACATCCCACCGCTGGTCAGAATGGGAACCAGTGAAGTTTCCAGGTATACGCCATCAACTGCAGGAGTCTGAGTACATGACAGGCTAAAGGCCGGTTCCATCGTGTGTCCATGTCCACCGAAGCACCCCATAGACAACGACCCCCACGCTGACCCCCGTTCGTCTTTCGCTTCGCACGCCTGCAAAGGTTCTTCCAACTCGCCATCACCGACTTTGAAACGCATACCCACAGCCAACCACCTGAGGCGCCCCCCCAGCACTTCGTCGCTTGAAGACACGCAGAAGCTTTCTGCGCGCGCGCGTGCGACAACTCTCCTTAACTCGGAGAACTCGTGACAAACTCGATAGATCTGCATGTCTTTCCTCAACTCAGTGTTAGTGAGATATCAAACAGCCTTTGACATTGATTTTAGAGACATGTCGACAGCAATTCCTGACCTCCTTCGAGACCTGACTGGTATTGATTGGTGATCTCATCTGAGGTATTGCCGGTTCAAAAGATGGACTTCCTGGAAGAAGTGCATGTAGTTGCAAGGGTAGTATCCAGTGGTCAGACAAAACCAACGGTGGTGTTGGTCATAGTGAAGCCCGTAGGGCTTCACTACTTTTAATTGCGTAGTTGAATAATATAGATGGGTTTAGTGGGGTCATGAGTCAGCCCTATTTCTCCATGGTTGGCTTTGCGTCACAAAACCTGACAAACACCAATCTGAGAGTGTCTGCTACAATTTGGGGAGAGATGTAAATCGTTAATGAATCCTGCAATTTCCACATATCACTCTTCCTTGCCCAAAAAGGCACATGTCATGGACTCATGGACACTGACCCTGGTCGTTTTCAACTGGTGCTGTTGATTACATCATCCAAACGAGCAAGTAGATCGTTCTTTTGCAAGCGTGCCCATAGGAGAATCTATAATCCGGGACGCATAGATAGAACCAATGTGTTTAATATTTCAAATAGAAGGTGCAATTTTGGTGGTTTCCAAGCAAGGCTTTAAATAGAAGAAAATGCCTTGTGCAAGAGGTGCTTTGTTGATGCTTTTTTGATGCTGTTTGGGCACTCTGAACTCCAACATCTTCTATTTGAACGGTCTTGCCAGAGAAGCAGGATTTCATGTTATTTACAGTGAAGTCTTGAAGTTTTGGATGATCTTGTCCAAAATTTAGCCGGGACAGACGGTGCAAGTTAAACCCAAAAATCAGAGGACCTAGTGCACAACCCAAGATGTCCAGAATCCCGGTACAAAACCGTAAAAAAAACCTCGAGTTTTTTAAAATTTTTTCTGAAGGTCAGATCCACAAGACAGCAGAACAACAAGTGAAGGTCAAATAGAAGATATTGCCTAAGCAACCAAGCACATCAAATAGAAGAAATGTGTATGTTGTTATTTTGGTGTTATAAAATAATCTGGTAATATCTTCTATTTGAAACTGAGTGCAAATCAGCCTTTTCCTACCCCATGAGTCCATCTTCAGAGCTTTGCTCTCACCAGGGTTTCTCCCTCAAAGTTAAGAAGATCAGACATTGCAATAATTATCCCTAAGATCAGTCCCATTGGGGCCTCGTGAAAGGGACTTTCTCAAATAGGTCATGTTTCTGGGTATTCTTGCTGTGTTGTTGTGAATATGTATCTATCTATATATCTATCTATTAGATCTATTCATCAATGCTTGCATATTTACCAGAGATGCCATCTGCAGTGAAGAAACAACAGACCGGCGAGGAAGGAAACAATCTGCGTGGACCAAACATGAAATCAAATAGAAGATCCAAAACAAACATTTCAAATAGAAGATGTACCTCACCGGACAGATGTCAAATAGAAGATATTAGATATTAGTCTATTTAGTGGTTTTTGCAAAAGTAGCTATATAACATGATATAACACCTCTTTTATGCTCCGGCGAAGCCCTTTTCTTCTACTTGAAATTGTTTTTCGCGCGCACCAGAAGCAGTTTCAAATAGAATATTGAAATTCTGAATATTCGGGATTTTTTTCTATCTCTGCGTCCCGGATTATATCTTAAGCTTCAGAAAAGGGCTCGGATTGGCTCAAAGCGTTCATGCCGAGCCACTTCTTCGGTTGTTCAGGTGAAAAACCCAGGTGCAGCAACTCCTGAGAGAGCAACACAAAACGCCGCATACCAGTAGTATATATAGTGATCCCCAGATAGATAGTGTCACGGTGTCCAATACATTTTTAATTAGTGGGGATCTACAAGTACTTTTCTATTTATTTGGGGTCTATATAGGTGCCCTTGCTACATTGGTCATTTACATGACCAGTCCGTTTCACAAGATTCCTCGGCACAAGGCAGCATGTTCCTCTGAAATGCCACATTTGGAAAGTCCAGGCTTGCGGCTGGCTGTCTTCACTGTAGAATGGTTGCTTCAAAACATCATGAAACATATTGAATCGAGGGCTGAAGGTGCCCCCTCTCCACTTGTTTGGGGTCTAATAGCCACCCCAACAGGGAACTTCCTGGTATGTTCGTCATATATTCATAACATGTCATAACTATATTCATAATATGCTCACCTGCAGCAGGCACTGTCATGCACTCGGGTTCATCGCTTCAGATCGCTTCTGTCTGTTGTCTGACGAAAGGATTTCATCGCAAGCCGATGCATTTCTCAACGGTGCTCTGCAATGCCCTGAGACCTCTCATTGACATGGAACAGTCTATCAAGAACACACTTGAACAGTTGACATGACATGCATTGCACTGACATCCTTAAAGAACGGGCTCGGATTCAATTTAGGATTTTTTTGTTTTGTTTTGGGATTTATTTTTGTTTTTCGTGTTTCGTGGCAGGT